AAGGGGAAGGGGAAAATGTGATATTTTCCTAAATGCTTATCTACATGAAGAATTGTTTATGATGTATAGTTTTGATTAATGAACGATGATTAGTATAAGAAATGTATTTTGAATTTTTGAGCCATGTATTTTATATTGGTAGATTTTTGTACTGTGGGACCTAAGTGATGTATAAACATGTATTTCTTCCGTATGAAGTATATGTTACATTCAATGTGTGATATGGGGTGTTACAGTAATTTGTAAGGAATTCAATTGTAATATCTTTACGTAATGAGAAGGTTTGGCCAAGTTTAGAAGATTTGACTTTCTCTCTCTACTCTCTCATAGTGTTCTTAATGTAATATCCAGATCTGTCATGGAAATTATGAAGATTATCTTGAAGATTGATTGTTAGGGAACAACAGCACTGTTTATTTCAAGGTATATGCTGCAGTTTTACATGCCTAACAAGTTTTCTTCTATATTTTTCAGGCTTTTGCAGCATTCCAGAGTATATCCTGATTACACGAAAGAACCTGATGACCTGGCTTCAGGGAGGGCGAATTTACAGAAAGTAACCTTATTGTCTAGTAATTGGTTTGGATCTGGTGTGGTCCATGCTAAAGTTTGGATATCAGATTCTCGAGATGTTTATATTAGATCTGCTAACAATGACTGGAAATATCTTACACAGGTAGTTTTAATAAGCCAGAGAGTTCAATACGGGAAAGTTCTGATTAAATTTTACTAAATATTTGACACAGTTCGAATAAACTTCCATTTTCTTGTTTGGAAGAATATAATTCCTACCAATCTTGATTTTCACATATTTTATCAATATTATGGTGTTGGTTTTATATTTTACCCCACTTGTCCTTTATATACCTCATATATTCTCTTTCTTATAATTTTATTACGCATTCCTAACCCTTTAATGTTTTGGGTTAATACCTCATATAAGACTTTATGCAGTGAAAGTTAGTACCAAATGCATTAGATGTTTTTAAGGGGCTGTTTGTTTTTAATAAAAAAGCTCTTAATGTCCTCTTAAGTCTGAATCGGTCAGACATAAAAGAATTCAATGTGTTTGTTTTTTTATTCAATTAAGAGCTTAAAAGCTCTTATTAGGTCTGAAAATTTAAGTGGTTGCGAAACCTCTTATTACCTCTTATTTCAAATTGCCGCCTACCTACTCTGATCTCTTTGCGCTCAATTTCTCTAGATCAA